TTATTGTGGCACGGTATCGTCTCTGATCATTGTAACTTTGAACTTTTTGGCTTATTGTTTCCAGAATTAGTCCAATAATCAATCGCGTCCAAGTATTTTGCCAAATGAGCGCTCCATCCCTTACAAATAATATCTCTCAAATCAAACAATGGTATGTAATTCAACATGCTTTCATATACCATTGTCTTCAGGAATGGGAGCTGAAGCTCGACGAGAAGCAAATGACGATGTTCCAAAACAGGGATAAACACCTGCAATCATAAATAACTGCGCACATCAAATAAAATTTATTAAAACCTTTAAAATATTCAAAAATTAAATACTAACCTTATCGACCTCCCACCACGCAGGATAAAGTTTAGCTTTTCCATTACCCAACGTATATGAAACATCTCTCGGATCCTTCAAGTGAGCTACGTGAAAAGACGTTGGCATAATAATCCATCTAGTATTTCTTATTTTCCTCAATTTCCTTATTATTAGAAGACGTGACACCCATGCATCAATATGCTGTTTTATAAAAAAATACATATATTAGTGAATTTATTAATAATTTTAAAAAAAATTAATCAAAATGCAATATAAGAAGAATATAAGACTTACCACCCCTTCGAGATAGCCATTATCTTCAACCCCTAATAAAATACCCCACTAAGACCGATCAAGAAACAAATACATAACATCATCGAGTTTGCATAGGTTAGAATAACACCCCTTGCTCCGCTCATGTAGATAAAAATCTACTGCGGTCTTAGCCCAAAGGGTATTATCCGTAATTGTGTCCAGTAGTGTTCTCCTCTCCTGTTGAGGAATGGTACTGGTCGGTAACACATACGAAAGCCAACTCGTATCCATCATATCAGGCACGGGAGGGGGTTTATCAATATGTCAACATATGACGTCATGTGAATCGGGCTCTTGAACGGTGGGCGGGACCTCTTGAACGATGACATGGGCCTCTTGAACGGTGGGAGGGGCCTCTTCGATGATGAGAGGGGCCTATTGAACGATAGGAGGCACCTCTTGAATGATGATAGGTACATCGGGCTTCTTCTTACAAAGTCTTGGTACTAGTAGGGTGAACGGAGACGTAATAGCATGTGCACGACGTCTGATGCGTGAACCCCGTCGTGCAAGAAAAACCTGACATAAAACATCTACCTTATCGGGCCGCTGAAAATAAATTAATACATAAATCAGTAAATAAATAAATAAATAATGCTGAAAAAAGGTTATTTGCATTTTTAGTATAATATTAAACAAATTTACCTCATTGCGTAGAGTATGAACCTCATTCTACAATGATGAAACAATCTCGCGTAGAGCGGCAACCTCATCACGTAAAGTAGATACCTCACCACATAGCGCACCATTTTCATCGCGTAAAAAATCCACCTCACCACGTAAAGACCAAACCTCATCACGCCATGCACCATTGTCTTCACGTAAAGTACCGACCTCATGACGCAAAGCACCGACCTCATCACGTAACTCCCCAAACTCATCCCGTGGAGGTGGAGAACAGGGAGATAAATGTCGTGGCCTCTTTGCCGGTCGCCTATCAGGAGGTGATGGTGGAGAAGAGGCTCGATGATGTGATGGAATAGGTGATGGTGGAGGTGGAGAAGAGGCTTGATCAGGTGATGGCTCCGGGTGTCGAGCTGTAGAATCGGCCCGATCAGGTGATGGCTCTCGAAGTAGGGGGTGCTCATCTTCCGTCCCATCAAAAAACCACTTACTAGCTTGCCACCAATCAGTGGCAAGCTCAGCCTCTGTGGGTGTCAGCCTATGTAATGGATAGTTGGCCTCCTAACAATATAAAAGCTCAAACAAAGTTAAACGTGTACTAGTAATAACTTGTTTATATGGTATTATTTGTGTGTTAACTTACATCATTCATCGTCGTATATGGGAGTAACTCTTCCCAATCCAACATGTGGATTCTCTTCCAGGTAATAGCCCTAGGAATATCATTTGATCTTTTTATCGAATATGTCCACATGCTGGGGAAAGCCTCAAATATCCAAATCTACAAACACATATACACAAACATTAGTAATTGTTAAATAATTAATTATAATTTTGGAAACATTATATAGAAATTCTTACCTTAAAGCCCAAGTAAAGCCTTTCAAAATGTATTTAGAACCATCGCCCTGCAAACTTTTTCGGTCCTCAAAGACAGACGACAACTTCTTCCAGGTAGATTTCCATAGATATGAACCCCACGGAAATAAGTTCCATGCATTTAGGTCCTCTACCTATAATATTAGGTCCTCAGAGATAGGTTGTCTGCCCTCTTTGCCTAAAAAGCCAGCATGCAAAAGTAATAAATGGCATACTCGGACAACATCAAGGCCATCCATCTGAGTAAAACCATCTTTAATAAATAATCTCTTCAAGTCGTCGACGTGTAAACTCGGCTTCGACTTTGCCAGCTCAGGAAAAACCTGAGATAACCATGATGGGTGGGAGATACCACTAGTGTACCGGGTTACATCATCGTGTCCGAAGCGTAGACTAGTTATTAAGCAAAACTCCTCCCACCCAAAACAAGTATACGCCGGAGGAAAATGAAACCATATCTTCATCACCACGTTGTATCATCTCGGGTAGATCGTTAGTCATGGTCTGAAGAAATAAATGTGTCAACATAGTATCTCCACCCGAATGTTGTACTTTCAGCCATGGCCCGAAACCACTAGTGTACCGGGTTACATCATCGTGTCCGAAGCGTAGACTAGTTATTAAGCAAAACTCCTCCCACCCAAAACAAGTATACGCCGGAGGAAAATGAAACCATATCTCTTCATCACCACGTTGTATCATCTCGGGTAGATCGTTAGTCATGGTCTGAAGAAATAAATGTGTCAACATAGTATCTCCACCCGAATGTTGTACTTTCAGCCATGGCCCGAAGCAAGTATCCTCAAACAATTTTCTTTGTAGAGGTGTAAGCGTCGACGCAATTTTAGTGGCTATGCTTAATTTATTCCTTAAGGTCAATGCAGCCGAAAAAATTTCTACAAAAACAATAAACATACAAAGTTAGATATACCAAAAACTACAAATTATACACTATAAACAGACATGATATTAAACAGTGAAAACAAAGCCAAATATGTTTCAAACTAGCACGGTATTCACCCAAGTCATTATTCCATCATAGTTCACAAAACATCAGATAACATTCCAGAAGTAAGCAATTATATAAACATAAAAGGACAACATATAGGTTTAGTGCAGGTTCAAGGACAACATAAAGAGTAGTAGTTTATTCTTGAAACTTAAATTAGCAACACTGTGAAGTTAGTATTTGTCTTTGTTTTTTGGTTGAAGTAATGCAATTCATTCAAGTTTCAATTTAGTTTCTGAAACTTAAATTCGCAACGCGAAACTAAAATTGCGTTGCGAATTTGAATTATGTGTTGTGAATTTGACTTCTGTGTTGCGATTTACAGATTCACGTTACAATTTACAGATTCGCGTTTCGATTTACAGATTCGCGTTGCGAATTTGACTTCAGTGTTGCAAATTTGACTATCGCATTGCGAATTTGACTTCAGTGTTGCGAATTCGACTTCAGTGTTGCGAATTTGACTATCGCGTTGTGAATTTGACTTCTGTGTTGCGAATGGAAACTGGGTTGCGAAATTGGAGTTCGCGTTGCGAATTTATTGGTCATTTTTGCAAATCTAAAAAAAATTGGTTAAAATCGTATATTATAAGGTATTTTCGGTCACTGGGGTTATTTTCTCTAAAAAAAATTGAAGACCCTGAGCAATTGCTCTCCCTAAACCCCTATAGCCGACTGTGGCTTGCATTGTGCTGCCATAGTGGGTATACCCATAATATACGGTCAAAAGAGTGTCTACCTACCGCCCTTCGAAGTGTTAAGATGCCTCCACTAATCAAAAGAGACAAGATACCTCCGAATGCAAGAGAAGCCGCCACCCACTAACTAATTCTAATATATCATATACTTAAATCATTCATTTTTTTAATTAAAAATCATGATTAATTTATAATTTTAATTTTAATTTAAAACTAAACTAAAAACCATTAAAGTTTCTCCCATTGCCGATTATAGCAGTGTCAAAAGCCTATCCCAAATGATCCAGAGAAAGAAGGAACAAAGCTAAACAACAATGCCAATGAGAACAATAGAGTGTGAGAAAGGAACAACGAAGTATGCAGATTTTAAAAGAAATTCATAAAAACTTGTAGCCATTTTCGATAATTGTTATTTAATTTTATGATAAACAATAACGAATCTAGTGTTTACAATGCGACACATATGCTAAAGACATTAAAGAATCACAATTGTTTTCCAAATATATATGTTCCAGTTGAATAAAGGATCGATGATCGATGATCGGAATGTATTTGATTTTGATAATGCACTCACAAGCGCTGGTAAAATATATAAATAGTCTCTGAACTTTTAGGACACTTGCATTTTGGTTATCCAACTTTTGAAATTTGTAATACATTCATCAAACTTTTAATATGTTTTCATTTTGGTCCCTACCGTTACATCCATTAGTTTTTGCTGACGTGCCATTTAACCCAGTTGACTTTTCTTACGTAGAAGCTTCTTCTTCTTCCTCCACTTATGCTTTTTCTTCTTCTTTGTTCTTTCTTCTTCTTCTTTAAAGCAATCATCTTCTTCTTTAAAGCAATCATCTTCAGTTTCAAAATTCGATTGAAAAGCTTGAAGCTTGGATGAAGATTGAAGATTGGATGAAAAGCTTCAAAGCAATGTATCTTCTTCTTTACTTAAATCCCACCAAGTGAAAAACTTCAAGCTTGGATGAAGATTGAAGATTGATTCATTCCCTTGTTGTTAATGGCAACTTTTGATTGGGTGGGTGGGAATGGGGGCAACAATAGGAGCATCGAGAACGAAGAAAACCCAATGAGAAGCATCGCCATGAGGAAGAGATTGGGCTATGAGATTTCTGATTACCACCACCGGCTTTCTTGTTAGACTCATCTTGTTTTCGATACCAGAATGGCTTGTTCTTTCATGGAGGCGAATAACCCTAATCCACTCTTCAACTACTCCACTATGAACATGGATAATAATAATAATAATAATAATACTTGTGTCATCAGTTCTTTGAGTTTCGCCGCCTTGACTTCAGCTGGACCACCTATTTTTTGTCTACAACAATCTCGAGTTTCTTTGGTGTTGACACCGTGACCTCCACTAGTCCTCAGCCGCCCGACGTATGTGGGTTCTCGGGTTTGCCTTTGTTTCCACCAACGGATAGGAATCGAAACGGAAACGCTTCTATCATCGTCGTTTTCGGTAATAATATCATTCCTGTTTCTTTAGATCTGATCTCGAATTCCATGGATGACAATATGGCCACGACATGGTTTCAAAAAAGGACCACGACCGCGATTTCATCCGCGATATAGCGGTTTTAACGCCGTCCGAGTTACCAACTACACCCGCAATAACGCCCGCAACAGCCACAATCACGGTAAAACCGAAACGACCGAAAACTCGACCGCGACCGTGATTTGAAACCCTAGGCCACGGTCCACTTGAATACCAGCTCCGTCCACTTGAATGGAGGAGAGAGGCACTACCATTGCATATGCCAAAGGCGGCGTTGTCAAGGCACCATGTTCAGCAACAAGGCTCGTCTGGGCTCACTCTTAACTTGGACTCCATCGTAGATAATTACTCCTTCACTGATTCTGGTGCCATGAATCAATATTTGAACTGGGGAATAAGACCATTTCCAATCTCTTTTAATAATCATCATATTAGCAGTAACTCCTTCAACCTCAGCGATCTCGCATCCCTCTTACATGTTGGGTCGGTCTTGGAATCAGGGTTTGAAGTTAAAGATGATTGTTTTGAAGAAGAATAAGGAATAAGAAGAAAAAGCAAAAGTGGAGGAAGATGAAGATGTCACATTAGAAAAGTTAACGGGGTTAACTGCCATATCAACAAAAACTAACGGAAGGTAATAATAGGGACTAAAATAAAAATGAATTAAAAGTTCGATGGATGCATTCCAAATTTCAAAAGTTGGGTGACAAAAATGCAAGTGTCCTAAAAGTTTAGGGACTATTTATATATTTTACCCTATAAACAAAAGTTTGGTTAGATTTAAATGATTATCATTTTTAATAGTAAAAGGATTGCTTTCTTAAACTCTAGTACCTCTTTCCTTTATTTCCTCAAGACTATTGTTTGTTTGTTTCTCCTTATCTTTGGTTGATAGGCAGTAATATCAATTTTAGTATTGATTATTGTCGTTAGTATTTCATTAATTTATATATATATTATCTCATATTTTTATTTTCTTTTTAATAATCATGTCTTTACGACGTGGTTTTCTTTGTTTTTATGGTATGTTTTATCTATATTTTATAACACTTTTTAGTTTTATTTTTTAGTCATTTAATTGTTCTTGTCATTTATTTTTTTAGGGCTGGATTTGAAATTCTCACGACTGATCAATGTGGTGTTCATTTGTTATCCTATTGGTATTCCTTATTTTGGACCCTCAAATTGAATTTTGATATGTAGCATGCATTCATAGATAGTTTTTTCACTATGCGTGGCTCTAATTTGCGTTCGTCGATGGTCTTTAGTAGTTTAATTGTAGCACCCTAGACCAGTACGACACACAGTCGACTGATTTAAGGTGCTACACGGAACCACTGAAGTGGCTGACCAACTTTTTCTTACTTTCTTTAAATGGGTAAACTACGCCAATGGTCACTGATATTTGGGTAAGTTTTCGTTTTCACCACTAATGTTTCGAAAGTTACAAATCGGTCACTAATATTATCGTTTGTGACAAATTGGTCACTCGCCGTTAACAACCGTTAAGAGACGTCATAGAAATCACACGTGTACTGTTAGCTGCTTACATAGATGGTTGACTGCCCCTTTGACCGGTGTTTTACCAAATATTTAATGAAAATTTAATTAATAAAATTAAATGGAAAAACTCAAAACCACCATTAGCTATCCTATGTTATATTCAGTTAACCCAAAGCAGAGGGGAGAGGAAATGGCTTCGGGATTCTCTGGCGGTGGCCAGGATTTTTACGGTGGATTAACTGGCAGATTTGTGGGTAGCACTAGTAGCATGAACAACAACAAAGTGACTACACTGTACCGGGCACAGGTCCTCGAAATGTTCATAGACCACGTCTCAGATCGTGAACCGAACGATGCTTGGCCTCATCGAGAAACGAACACTGGCAAAGTTTTAAACGTAAAATCTCCTTAACAATCATCCTTCCCACCTTTATCTCCGTTCAACTAAGCTCAAAACTTACCATCACACTTCTCCAATTTCTCTCTTGTGCAAAGGATGGTAAATGTTCTTCAATAGGGAATGGTGGCGGAGTTGTATTTCGGGTTCGAGCAGATGGAGGACGTGGTGGCACACCACTGGAAAACTTGGAGCCAAGGATAGTAAATTTTCTTCAATAGGGAATGGTGGCGGAGCTGTATTTTGGGTGGAAATAGTATGGGTAAACTACACCAATGGTCACTAATGTTTGGGAAAAATGGGGAGCTGCCCATAGGAAAATGGGGACTACGAAAGTCTCTGATTCCAGTGGTGTTGCCACCATCTCCTAGAAGGGAAAGGGAAACTAGAAATTATCGTGGAGGCTGCTTGGCATGAGATTTAAGGTATAGAGTTGCTATTGATGTGGCTAAGGCACTGTCGTACCTACATCATGATTATCGATCAATGATATTACACCCTGATGTCAAGCAAGAAAATATACGTCTTGATGAGAATTATAGAGCAATTGTGACAGATTTTGGTCTTTCAAAGTTTATGGGAAAACATGAGAGTAGGGTTATTACAACAATCAGGGGGACTAGAGGTTATTTAGCATTTAGCCCCAGAATGGCTCTTGGAGCATGGAGTTTCAGATAAATCTTATATCTACATCTATGGAATGGTTCTTTTGGAGATGATTGGAGGAGAAAGAAATGTTAGTCTGATCGAAACAGATAGGCCTCAAAGGAAATGAAAATTCTTTCCTAAAATTGTGAGCAAAAAACTAAGAGAAGTAAAACTAATAAAAGCTGTTGATCGGAGGTTAGTTGAAGCAGGAGGCATTGATAACAGGCAGCTGCAAAGACTGGTATATGCAAGTTTGTGGTGCATACAAGAGTGGGCGAAACTAAGGCCGAGCATGGCACAAGTGGTTGAGATGCTTGAAGGGCGTGCTGTGGTAGAAGAACCTCCTGACTCACAAATGATTGTTGTTAATTTATTATCCATAGATGAAGAGGATTGTGATTATCATCATAGGCCAAAACTCACTGTAATGTGATCGGATGCAGACCGCAACATTTCGACTTCAGCTTCATCTTCTTTTTCAATGTCCGTGCTTATCCGGACGATAACTCCCTCTTACATACTATGAAAGCTCAATTCAGCTTGAGTTTTTTTATTATTATTTTCTTTTTTAATTTTTGAATCAGAAAATTGAACTATTAAAATATAGATTTTTGAAGAAATCGCAGAATTTGATATTCTTTTATATGCAAAAGGAAGCATGTAAACAACGTACAATCATTTATCTTGTACCTAAGATAAGATGAGGTATTGACACTACCATTGACTCATGGTGAACTTTCCTCTATCACTTTTTTGTTTTCATTTGGAAACCTAATTTTTTGCAGAAACATTGAATTTGACCTTCTGGAAGATCATCCCTGGATGATGTCAAAAATAATACTAGCAATAAAAAAGAATAGCATTGAAAGGTCCATTAAAAAAACCAAGACAAAAGAATCTGTAAACTACTGGCTGCATCTAATCTTTATGTAATTGATACAAAGGCAGAGATAGAAACTCTGCAAATCCTATTTGGGGTCCATTCAATGTAATCACTCGTATAAGCATTAACAACAAACTATATTTCAAGTGCTAGATTCTTCTACTCAAACAGATAACAATGGGGGAAAATAAGACACTAAAAAATTGAAAATAATTACATCAAACAAAAGGCGTGCACGTATTGCAAGCTCAGCAACTCTGCTTCCAATTTGATGAAGACTTCTATAATAACCCTTCTCTTAAGCCATCTTGCAACACCCTCGGGCTTCTTTAATAAACGATATTTCTGAATTTCCATTAATTGATGAGAGTAAGTACTTCTCTTGATATGTATCATCAATTTCCCTGGAGGCTGCGAAAGGCTCTAATTCCAGTGGTGTTGCCCAATGGTCACTGATGTTTGGGAAAAATGGGGAGCTGCCCATGGGAAAAATGGGGACCGCGAAAGTCTCTGATTCCAGTGGTGTTGCCACCATCTCCTCCATCCGCGCGAACCCAAAATACAGCTCCGCCACCATTCCCTATTGAAGAAAATTTACCATCATTGGCTGCAAGTTTTCCAGTGGTGTTAGCACCATTTCCTCCATCCGCGCGAACCCGAAATACAACTCTGTCACTATTCCCTATTGAAGAACATTTACCATCCTTTGTACAAGAGTGAAATTGGAGAAGTGTGATAGTAAGTTTTGGGTTTAGCTGAACGGAGATAAAGGTGGGCAGGATGAGTGTTAAGGAGATTTTACGTTTGAAACTTCACCAGTGTTCGGTTCACGATCTGAGATGTCGGGTCCATGAACATTCCGGGGACCTGTGTCCGGTACGGTGTAGACGCTTTTTTTTGTTCATGCTGCCAGTACTACCCACAGATCTGTCGGTTAATCCATTGTAAAAATTCCGGCCACCGCCGTAGAATACCGAAGCCATTTTCCCTCCCCTCTGTTTGGGGTTAATTGAATATAAAAAAGGAGAGCTAATGGTGGTTTTGGGTTTTTCCATTTAATTAAATTTTCATTAAATATTTGGTAAAACATCTGTCAAAGGGGCGGTCAACCATCCAGGTAAGCAGCTAACGGTCCACGTGTGATTTTCGTGACGTCTCTTAAAGGCTGTTAACGATGAGTGACCAATTTGTCATAAATGATAATGTTAGTGACCGATTTGTAACTTTTAAAACATTAGCGGTGAAAATGAAAACTCACCCAAACATCAGTGGCCATTGGCGTAGTTTACCCTTCTTTAAATATAAAACAACTGTAAAATAAACTAAAAAATTAATAAAATATTTACACTGAGGAGCTCTAAATTAAAATAGTTACACTTTACAAAAATAATATATACCGCTATACTAAAACTATGACTCAACTGGACAATAAAGTTTACAAATATACATGCCCTTTCAAAAACACTGAGACGTACTCTATATCTGCACTGATATGAACTGAATTTTGGTCTATATACTATTCCTCACCTACTGGATCTACTAACCTGCCCACGAAAACAAGCCGAAGGTAGCTCATCGATACACTAATAGCTAAAACATACGACTACATATCACTAAAAGGCTAGCTATCAAGTCTACTAATATGATATGTATAGTGAATATCCTTATGATATTCACTCTCTACTCTATTGTAGACATCATGGTGCGGTTGAGGGATTACTGCATCTCGAAGCTCTCGCACCCCTCTAGTCTACTGCGGTATGGCCCCAGAATTTCTGTATCGGACATCATACCCTTGACTAACCCACCCCTTGCGAGTGTCAGGTCTCGGCCTCTGTTAGTCGATTTTAAGGGCCTTGCACCATACCTAAGGATATATCTGGAATGCATCTATACTTTCTACTCTACTAGCTTTCTTAAAGGAACTTGGGTGTCCTAATCATTTCCCGAGCATCAAACAAGGCTAGTCTTATTTGTCCCTAATTATATTGGTTTCTACGTTTAATTTAAACATTAATAATGTTCCACTTGTAGTTTTATTTGATGATATAATGTAGTGTTGAGGTACCTCGTGTCTAAATCCATAAAAAACTGACATTTTTGCCCAAAACAGACTGAAAGTATCCAAACTATCCTAAGAGTATCGATACTTTTGTAAAAGTTTTGCTACTTTATATAAGTACCGATACTTTTAAACATTATGTTCTGCCTAGTTTCGATACTTTCTGGGAGTTTTTAAACTATGACCCAAAGTTTCGATACTCTTGTCCAGAAAACATGATTTTACCCAGAAACGAAGAACAAGTATCGATACTAACCCTATAATATCAATACTCTACCTATAGAAGTCATAAAACAAGTATGGAAAACTCTATTTTTCAATCCCAAAGACCCTAGTGAGGTCCCCAAACATTCTTATAGTATTATGTTATATTATGGGAGCATAAATAAGGCTTAGAAACATGCTGAAAGCATTAAACATAAAATCTACCTTGGAAAGCTACTAAACATGCTTTATCTGAACTTTATAGCAAAAAATCCTTTCTAATGATTCTAAATTTAGCATGGAAAAGCTAATAGTGTTTTACCTGATTGCCTTGGCTGCTAAAACACCTCTTGAATCAACTAGGAGTTACATTCCCTCTACCTCTAGCCTTTGAACTTTCTCCAACTTCTTTAACTAATCAAAGGAAAGAAAAGGAGTTTACTAACTTATCTAAGGATTAAAATAAGGTTAAGGACTCTCTAATTAACTCAAGTTTACTATAAACAAGCTTAAATATCTAAATCTCGTCTATTTCTTCAAAAACTCATTTTTGAAAACTTAACCAAAACTTAAGATTAAGGGCTTTAATGGAAGCTTAAGGGATGAAAAATAAGAATCCTACCTTGGTTTCTTGATACTAAGCTTGGAAATCTCAAAAACTTCTACTTTTGGCTTGGTTTTGGGAGAGAAAAGGAAGAAAATATGATATGATGTTTTGGATTGATTTTTATGTGGACTCTGGAAAATAACGGGTTTATATCTATTAAAACAAGATATGGGTAAATTGCTAACTTGGTATTTCTCGTTTTTACCTCAAATTAAAACTACTACTTAACTAAACTCTTGGGTCTACCTTAAGTACAATACTCTTAAGAATTGGTCTAAAATTGGCTTGGAAAATCTAATGTGCTCTATTGATGGGTTTCAGGTTGACCAAAAACTATTATCTCGAAAATCCGGGCATTACAGCTCTCCCCTCCTAAGAGAAACTTTCATCCCCGAAATTTTGTCAGACATCTACAACTAATCTCAACTACTAGAACATCTAATTATAAGGGTTGGTCACTACTTAACTATGGTTGTTACTGGCATAGGAAATATGGTAAGGTTACTTGAGATTTCATCAGCTGCACTCTCTTCCTGAGCTCTAATCGCATACTGATATGATACAACTCAATGCTCCCCACTAACTCCTGACAAAACTACATGCCTACCAACATGAACAAATTTACTTCCTCCTCTTTAAAATCCTCTGCCCCTCTGAACTATCGGAGCTAACGTGTATGGAACTACACTTTGAGCTTCTGGGTAATCTCTGAGAAAATAATCTAAAGACCCATAGTCGTAACAACAATGAGCCCCAAACCTACAAACTCCTAGGTGTCTCCTACCACAGTGAGAACATGTAGGATGATAAGGTACTCTTGATGATCCTTCAGTACTAAATAATGGTGTACTAAACAATGGTCTCTTGCACTAACTGGTCGTACTCTCTTCTCCACTAGCACTCTCTGCTGGTCGACTAGACTGACCTACCAAGACTCTCCCAGGCTCTTGAGATTCTCTCGACCTCTTGGATGGCTGGACTGGTTCCACTAACTCTACCACTTCTTTACCCTAACTTGAGGTGGTATCTTTTTCTATTGCTCTCCTGGCCATAAATCTCTCTATTGTCTTTGCTTAACGAACTAGTTTGGTAAAGACTCTCGGTGGATTGGTAGCTAAATGAATCAAGACATCTAACCAGAGACCTTCTCTGAACTTCTGGAAACAATGGTACTCTAACAAAACCAACTCTGGGGCGTATCTACTCATCCTGAAGAACTCCACCTCGTACTCAAATACTGATCTATCCCCTTGAGTCAATTGAGGGAATCAATCTCTCATTGTATCCATATGGGCTTCTCCTATATACTTATGGCGAAACTCCTCTAAAAACCGGTCCAGGTGGGTTACTCGGACTCTAATGACATCTCCACTGTCTCCCACCAATCTATTGCATCACTTTTTAGCAGGGAGATAACATGCTCCATCATTCCATCAGGAGTAAGATATAACTGACTAAGGGTCATAAGGGTTTCTCTTAACCACTGGTCGGCTACGATTGGATCATCCTCCCCTGGCCCAAAGAACTCAATAGTCCAGTACCTCCGGAGCCTCTCTACTGAGGTTTCCTGAGGTGTTACAACTAAAGGAACACACTGGACTGGCTAGGAAGATGGGGTAGCAGGTGCCTGAGGAATAGCTCTAACAATCCGTTTTAAGATAAAGGTTAGATTCATAAAGCATTTAGCCTCATCAACTTATGCGTCTCCAGGCTCTCTATACTCGGATTCTGGGGTGAAATCATCTCCTGAATCACTTACTAAAGAATATCTACTCTCGTCTCTAGCCTCTCTACTATGATCTAGGCTTCTGTCCATCTCTAAACTTCTGAAATTAAGAGGAAACAAAAAATTACTATCACTATTGCAGATATAGAAGTATGACTTAACTCTTTTGGGGGAATGTATACATATAAACTCTTTACCAACACTAACTGACTCTGATTGACACTGACCGCCTCTAACCCGCGGGTCCTAGGAGCATCAATCCTGACGCTTTGATACCATTAACTGTAGTACCCTAGACCAGTACGATGAAGAGTCAATCGATTTAAAGAGCTACACGAAACCACTAAAGTGGTTGACCAACTTTTTCTTACTTTTTTAAATATAAAATAATTTTAAAATAAATTGAAAAATAAATAAAATCATTACACTGAGGAGCTCCAAATTAAAATATTTACACTTTACAAAAATAATAGAGATGGCTCTATTGAAACTACGATTCAACTAGACCATAAAGTTTACAAATATATATGCCTTTCAAAAACGTTGAGACATACTCTGAATCTGCATTGGTTTGAAGTGGGTTTTGGTCTATCTACTTCTCCTCACCTGTTGGATCTACTAACCTACCCACGAAAACAAGTCGAAAACTAAGCTAACTAGCTTAGTGACACACTAATAACTAAAACATAATAAATGCATATCACTGAAATGTTAGCTATCAAATCTACTGATTTGATCTGCATAGTAAATATTCTTGTGATATTCACTATCTACCTTACTGTAGACATCATGGTGCAATTGGGGGATTACTACATCTCGGAGCTCATGCACCCCTCTAGTCTACTGGGATATGGCCCCAAGATTTCTACATTAGACATCATACCCCTTACTAACCCACCTCTTTTGAGTGTCAGTCCTCACCTTAGTTAGTCCGTTTTAAGGGCCATGCGATGTACCTAAGCATATATCTAGACTGCATCTATACCTTTGACTTCACAAGCTTTTCTAAAGGAACTTGGGTGCCTGAATCATTTCCCGAGCATCAAACAGGGCTAGTCTTATTTGTCCCTAATTATATTGGTTTCTATGTTTGATTTAAACAGTAATATTGTTCCACTTGTAGTCTTATGCGATGATATAATATAGTGTTGGGGTACCTCATGTCTAAATCCCTAAAAAAACTGACATGTTTTCTAAAACATACTGAAAGTATTTATACTAGCCTAAGAGTATCGATACTCCTATAAACTTTTTGATACCTACATAAGTACTGATACTTTTAAACATTCTATTCTACTTAGTTTCGATACTTTCTGGCAGTTCAAAAATATGACCCAAAGTTTTGATACTCTTGAAAGAGTTTCGATACTCTTGCCCATAAAACACGATTTTACCCAGAAATAAAGAACAAATATCGATACTTACCCTATAGTATCGATACTCTACTTGCAGAAGTCATAAAACAAGCACGAGAAACTCTAGTTTTCATTCCCAAAGACCTTAGTGAGGTCTCCAAACATTCTTAAAGTCTTATGTGATATTAAGGGGGCATAAATAAGGCTTAGAAGCATGCTAAAAGCATTAAACATAAAATCTACCATGGAAAGCTACTAAACATGCTTTATCTCAACTTTCTAGCTAAAATTATTTTCTAATGATTCTACAACTGGTATGGAAAAGCTAATAGTGTGTTATCTGATTGCCTTGGCTGCCAAAACACCTCTTGAATCAACTAGGATTCACTTTCTCCTTACCTCTAGCCTTTGAACTTTCTCCAACTTATTTAACTAATCAAAGGGAATAAAAGGGGTTTACTAACTTATCTAAGGACTAAAATAAGGTTAAGGACACTCTAATTAACTTAAATTTACTATAAACAAGCTTAAATCTCTAAATCTCTTTTATTTCTTTAAAAACCCATTTTTGAAAACTAAACCAAAACTTAAGATTAAAGGCTCTAATGGAAGCTTAAGGGATTAAAAATAAGAATCTTACCTTGGTTTCTTCAAACTAATCTTGGAAATCTCATAAGCTTATACTTTTGGCTTGGTTTTGGGAGAGAAAAGGAATAAGAAAAGAGATGATATTTTGGGTTGATTTTTACGTGGAAGACTTTGTATAATAAAGGGTTTATAACAATTAAAACAAACTATGGGTCAGAAGGATCACGTAAAGAAGATGGAGGCCGCAGAAATGAGAATACTTCGATGGGCATGTGGTAGGACTCTGTGGTATATGACACCAAACTCTGCTATTAGGATGTCCTTGGGGTGGTGCATGTATCCAAAAAATTGAGAGAGGGAAGGCTACGGTGGTTTGGGCATATCCTTTGGAAACAACCTTCGGATGCGGTCAGGAGGGTAGAGTTGATTACAGTCGACGGTGACAGGAGGAGAGGACGGCCAAGGCAGAAGTGGGAAGACTGCTTGAGATCTGATTTGAAGGATTTAGCCATTACCAATGACATGACCTCTGATAGGAAAGTATGGATACTTAAGACCAGGGTAGCCGAGTAGTGCGGGTCACAGACATAGGGTGTAACATCTCTGTTTTCTTTTTAATGCCTTTGTAATAATTTCCATGACTTCTACTTTATATACGTTTCTGTCATTAGAATTTATGAAGGCTTAGAACTAGGGTAGTGGAGTAGTGTTGCCTTAGTTTAGGTTTTCACCCATTTGACTTTATTCCTTCTCGTAGCTTGCTATCATTGACTATTGTGTATCATTCTCTTCAGGTTTCCTTTTTTTAAATTTAATCGGGTCTTACGTTTCTGTCTATATACAGAGATTTTTACGCAACGATTAATTCCTATTACAGACGCGCATATGAAGACTGCATATGGAGACTGTTCAACTATGTATTTATTTATTTATTTATACATACATTGTATTTTATCTTTATTTTTAATTTTCTAACTGCCAGATGTCTTCCACGGAAGCTGCTCTCAATCCTGGCGTTGGGGGCAGCCTACTACCCTACCTCTCCCTTACCCCATTATATATGGGAATAGGGTTTTGTTTTTATTGTTGTTGTATGGGTAAATTGCTAACTTGGCCCTTCTCAGTTTTACCTCAAATTAAAACTACCACTTAACTAAACTCCTAGGCCTACCTTAAGCCCAATACTCTTAAGAATTGGTTTAAAATTGGCTTGGAAAATCTAATGGCCTCTACAGACGGGTTTTAGGTTAACTGAAACTACTGACCTAGAAATCAGGGCATTACAACTCTCCATTCCTAACAGGAACTTTTGTCCTCAAAATTTTGATAGATATATACTAATAATCTCAACTATTAGAATATTTAATTCTAAAGGTTGGTCACTAGTCAATTATGGCTTGTACTGGAATAGGAAATAGGATAAGGTTACTTGAGATCTAATCAGTTGCACCTTTCTCCTGGGCTCTAATCGCATACTGACGGACTACAATTCTAGGCTCCCCACTAACTCTTGACTAAATTGCACCCCTACTAACCTGAACAGATGAACTTCCTCCTCTGTGAAATCCTCTACCCCTCTGAACTGTCGAAGCTGACGAATCTGGAACTACACTCTGAGCCTCTGGGTAATCTCTGAGAAAATGATCTAAAGACCCACAACGATAAATACCCTGAGTCCCAAACCTACAAACTCCTGAGTTCCTCTTACTACAACGAGAATAGGTAGGATGAGAAGGCACTTTTTATGATCCTTCAGCACTAGCTACTGGTGCAGTAAACAATAGTCTCTTAAACTACCTGGTCCGACTCCCTCCTCTAGCACTATGCTCTGGTCCACTAGACTGACCTACCAAGACTCTCACGGGCTCCTAAGATTCTCTCAACCTCTTGGATGGCTGAACTGGTTCTACTGATTCTGCTAGTTCTCTACCCTGACCTGAGGTGGTATCTTCTTCTACTCCTCTCCTGGCCATAACTCTCTATACTGCCTTTACCAGACAAACTAGCTCGGCAAAGACTCTTGATGGATTGGTAGCTAAATAAGTCAAGATATCTAACCAGAGATCTTGTCTGAATTCCGATAACGATGATACTATGACAAAACCAACTCTGGGGCATATCTACACTGCTTGAGGAACTCCACCTTGTACTCAAATATTGATCTATCCGATTGAGTCAACTAAGCGAATCGATCTCTCATTGCATCCATATAGGCTTCTCATATATACTTCTAGTGAAACTCCTCTAAAAATCGTTCCCAGATGGGTCGCTCAAGCTCTAAAGACATCTCAACTCTCTCTCACCAATATATTACGTCACCTTTCAGTAGGGAGATAAAGTACTCTAACATTCCCTCGGGAGTAAGATACAGCTGACGAAGGGTCCTAAGGGTTTATCTTAACCACTGGTCAGCTACGATTGGATCATCCTCCCTGACCTAAAGAATTTAGTGGTCTGGTACCTCCAGAGCCTTTCTATTGAGGTTTTCTAAGGTTCTACAACTGGAGGAATAGGTTGGACTAGCTGGACATATGGGTTTGCAAGTACCTGAGGAATAAATCTAACGATCCGCTTTAAGGCAAATATTATATTCCTAAAAAATGCATCCTCATTAACTCTTGCGTCTCCAGGCTCTCTATGCTCAGATTCTAGGATGAACTCATCTCTTGAATCACTAACCCAAGGAGATAAAATCTCGTCTCTAGCCTCTCTACTATGATCTGGGCTTCTGTCCATCTCTAAAATTCTGAAATTAAGAGGAAACAAATAATTACTATCACTATTACAGATATATAAGTACAACTTAACTTTTTAAGGGCATGTATACTTATAAACTCTTTTCTGAAAAATAACCTACTCTGACCACCACAAACTCGCGAGTCCTGGGAACGTTAATCCTGATGCTCTGATATCAATAACTGTAGCACCCTAGACTAGTACGACACACAGTCGACCGATTTAAGGCGCTACACGGAACCACCAAAGTGGTTGACCAACTTTTTCTTACTTTTTTAAATATAAAAAACTATAAAATAAGCTGAAGAATAAATAAAATCTTTAAACTGAGGAGCTCCAAATTAAAATATTTACACTTTACAAAAATAATACAAACCACTCTACTGAAAATACGACTCAACTGGACAATAAAGTTTACAAATATATATGTCCTTTCAAAAATGCTGAGACGTACTCTGTATCTGCACCAGTCTGATTGGTTTTTGGTCTATCTAGCACTCCACACCTATTGGATCTACTAACCTGCCCACAGAAACAAGCTGAAGGTTAAGCTAACTAGTATAGTGACACACTAATAGCTAAAACGTACTAACTGCATATCACTGAAAGACTAGCTATAAAGTCTATTGATATGATATTCTTAGTGAATATCCTTGTGATATTCACTCTCTAAGCTACTGTAGACATCATGGTGCGGCTAAGGAATTACTGCATCTCGGAGCTCATGCACCCCTCTAGTCTACTGGGATATGACCCTCGAAATTTCTATATCGAACATCATACCCCTAAATAACCCACCCCTTACGAGTGTCAGGCCTTGACCTTATTTATTCAGATTAAAAGGTCTTGTACCCTACCTAAGGATATATATGGACTGCATCTATACCTTCGACTCCACTAGCTTTTCTAAAGGAGCTCGAGTGTCTGAATCATTTCCCGAGCATCAAACAAGGCTAGTCTTATTTGTCCCTAATTATATTGGTTTCTACATTTTATTTAATATTAATATTGTTTCGCTTGTAGTCTTATCTAATGATATAATGTAGTGTTGAGGAACCTCGTGTCTAAATTGCTCATAAACTGACTTTTTTGCCCAAAACAGACTAAAAATATTAATACTAGCCTAAGAGTATCGTTAGTCCTGTAAAAGTTTTGATACTTTATATAAGTACCAATACTTTTAAACATTATGTTCTGCCTAGTTTCGATACTTTCTGGGAGTTTCGAAACTATGACCCAAATTTTTAATACTCTTGAAATAGTTTCAATACTCTTGCCCATAAAACACGATTTTACCCAGAAACGAAGAACAAGTATCGATACTAACCCTATAGTTTCGATACTCTACCTACATAAGTCATAAAACAAGTACAAGAAACTCTAATCTTCAATCTCAAAGACCCTAGTAAGGTCCCAAACATTCTTAAAGTCTTATGTGATATTAAGAGAGCATAAATAATGCTTAGAAACATGCTGAAAACATTAAACATAAAATCTACCATGGAAAGCTACTAAATATACTTTATCTCAACTTTCTAGCAAAAACTCCTTTCTAATGATTCTAAATTTGGTATGGAAAAGCTAATAGTGTTTTACCTGATTGCCTTGGCTACTAAAACACCTCTTGAATCAACTAGGAGTTACCTTCTCCTTACCTCTAGCCTTTGAACTTTCTCTAACTTCTTTAACTAATCAAAGGAAAGAAAAGGAGTTTACTAACTTATCTAAAGATTAAAATAAGGTTAAGGACACTCTAATTAACTCAAATTTACTAGAAACAAGCTTAAATCTCTAAATCTCTTCTATTTCTTTAAAACCCCATTTTCGAAAACTTAACCAAAACTTAAGATTAAGGGCTCTAATGGAAGCTTAAGGGATGAAAAATAAGAATCTTACCTTGGTTTCTTCAAACTAAGCTTGAAAATCTCAAAAGCTTATACTTTTGGCTAGGTTTTGGGAGAGAAAAAGGAAAAAGAAAGGAGATGATATTTTGGGTTGAGTTTTATGTGGAAGACTTTGGAAAATAAAGGGTTTATAACTATTAAAACAAGCTATGGGTAAATTGCTAACTTGGTCCCTTTTTTACCTTAATTTAAAACTACCACTTAACTAAACTCTTAGGCCTACCTTAAGCCCAGTACTCGTAAGAATTGGTCTAAAATTGGCTTGAAAAATCTAATGTGCTCTACTGACGGGTGTCAGGTTGACTGAAAGTACTGACCCGGAAATCGAAGTATTACATTAATCTTTTAGTGTGGTTTGTTTGTCATTACAGTCAGATATGTTAGTATCTACCTATTGTTTGTGTTTTTGGATGAATTTTCACTTTTTCCTTGATGGTCCATATATGATCTTAAGTGGCTAATAAATTTATTGTTTTAATAATTATACAAGAATATCCTAATTGTGTGTTTAGTTTACAACTAAAATCTAGTTGTAAGAACTCATTATAATTTTGCATAATTTTCTTTCTTAATAAAATTAGCTACTTTTATATTTGTAAAAGAACGATTATCATTTTTATTTTACATATTTGTAAAATACATTTAAATAATTACTATGTAAAATACATTTAAATAATTACTATCTCATTCTCACTAATTGCGTCCATTATTTACTTTTTAAAAGTCAAAATTCTTAAATTTTGACTATAATTATTTTAAATATTTTAAACAATTAGATTTTATAAAAAATATATTTAAAAATTACTTGATTTAAAGTTTTGTAAATATATTTTTTCATATTTTTACCTATAATAAATTTAAATATTAATGAGTCAAAGATAAAAAAATTGACCAAAATATCAATAATGAACAAATTTAATGGGACAAAGAGAGGGAATATATTTTTATTCAGCAGTCACTCATACGAATTAATCTATAACATATTTAAAGTCCAAATCCTAATTTTTACAACTTAATTCTTAGGTAGCAATTTTTTTGTAATAAAAAATAAAAATATTTTTATTATATTCTTTTTAATCAAGATCAACCATTTAAAGCGTACCATGTTCAAACAATAATGAAATCTTACTTTTCTTTAATTTTATATTTGTGATATGAACCTGAATAATCATTTTAACTGAGATTGGGCGATTGTCTTAAAAAAATTGATATTTGTAAAGTTGCTAAAACAATTTATGAGGTTATCACACTAGCACATTATATATCTAAGACTTAAATGTACATCAAGTAAAATTAGAGAGGACATTGATGGACAAAAAATATATATATTTATGTTGGATGAGAGGTCTCGAGAATGTGATCTTTTGCTTAAACCATTTCATGTTGGTTCTTCGAAAAGTAAGGTCATTGTAATTACACGTAGCCAAAGTGTTTCATCCACCATGTATAATGTGTTTGGTTGTTATTTTAAGATTTTATTTA